TTAACAAAATCAACTTTTGGTTTTCTTTACTTATTTTTTTTTTTTTTTAAATATTTCATTTAATGAGTTTTCTTGCTATTGGTAGAAACCTAATGTTTTTTATAAATATTAACAGAAAGGCATAAAATTATTTAAACATACTATATATATATATATAGAGATGCATTTTAACGCGCTGAATAATAGGCAATTATTTTTATTTTGTTTTATTTTTTTTTTTAATGCACTTAAGGGAAGCCATCTCACCTGTTTCTTTCTATATTGCATTCAATTAGCTTTAATTTGTTGTTGAATTTACTACTAGTGGATATTCATATCAATTGATATAATCCTATTGATTTCCTTTCTTATTGTTATTAAATAGGAAATTCTAATTTTAATTTCCAATTAATTTAACCTGTTTAAAACAAACACTTTATATTTAAGTCCCGCTCAACTCCAGCTTATCTCTTTTTCATATTTTTCCCCGCGCTCAAAAGAATGCTGCATTATTTTTCATATATGCGCTCATCTTTTGCTGGGACGCAAGTCTTTTCCTTGCTATTCGCATTTCTTGTTGGGGTGAGTTGCCTTTCTGCGTTTATCTCTTTAAGGGTTAGGCTATTTGATTTCATTATGCTCGTGCGTGTGTGTGTGTGTGTTGCATTGAAGTCTTGACTGCTGATTGGTTGTCACTGTCCCAGTCCAGGCAAAGCCCAACTACCCAGCCGCAGCCTCTGTCCGCCCTGTTCTTGTCTTGTTTATGTGACTTCTGTCTGCAGCTCAGCATCGGGCCAAGCCGAAGTTCAACTTAATTGCTGGACCCGTTTAAAGGAAGCAACCAAAACTGGATGTTTTTGCATAAAATCGAGTTGTTTTCTGCCGCCAAAATATGTCAGCATCAATTGCATCAGTTTTTCAGCTTCAACCGGTTTTTGTAACGTTCGTTTTGGATTTTTTTCTTTACTTTTTTATTTGTCTAAAAACATCTAAGAAAAATCTTTGTAACGTTCATTTAAGTTGGTCGTAAATAAGCCACAGCGGTCAATGTTTTCATTTTTTGTTTTTGATGGGATTAGCCAGACGAAGCATGGGTCAGATATGGGCATGGGTCAGATATCTTTCATTTTGAGCTGAAAAGTCAGAAAAGCTTCAAAGTATTGAATCGCTATATGGTTTGTCTATGAGTAAAATTAATAACGGATTTCATTTCGCTTAGGAATTTGTACATATTTAAGCAAAGTTTAGTTTAGAATTAAATATGAAATGAATATGAAAATAAGAGTTGATACAAATTCCATTCCATTAGGGTCTCTAAAGTCAAGATATCGCTAGTCATAAAATATTTCTTGATGCACATACTTTACTTGAATTATAAATTATAAACTAAATTATAAAATATTCTTAGTGAAATATGAGAAAGATAATATATTTTTGCTTCTATTCACAATTGTCTAAAAGAATACAAAGTCGTAGGACGCAATCCTTATAGGCCAATTTATATTGATAAAAATTTAAACATTTTTGGTTGGTCAATTTCAACAAAATTATTCATTTAGAAATTAAAATGATGACAAAAATCAATAAATTTTTATTATATTTTTTTTATTTTTTTAAATTTTTTTATTTATTTATTTTTTTTTTCTTTTACGAATATTATGCAAATATTAATTGTTCAATCAATAGTTACATGATTTAATTTTTAAAGCAACCATATAAGGAATAAAACCTTTATAAATAATTAGAATAGTTTGCCAACATTTTTCTTTTTTTCTTTAAAATACAAACTCAGAAATAAATTCGATAGTATAGTATACTCTATAAATTTCCTTTCCTTTCTTCCACTCAAATATCATCAAATGATATAATAGCAGTTACCATATGATCTATATATTATAGACAGAGTTGTCAAGAGTAAAACATGCCTGTAACTGTGGCTACCAATCTTTTATACTTCCAAGGAGCTTAGCCATATTCTATCCATAAAACAAATACAATCTGCACAGTTCATAAGATGTAGAAAGGATATGTGATGGCATGGGAG